TTTATATATATTTTTTTTTTTTTTTTTGCAGGAGGCCAAATGGAGTTTCTTTAAAAGAAAACTGAAGCCAAGCACAACATTTGAAAACCCTACATATTCAGAGGTGAGTAGAACTGACTATGTTAACATTAATTTATAACTTCACTTGTCTAAACAAAAGTAATAGTGAGTGAAAGAAGAAACAGTCAATTGCAGAAAGTCAAGCGATCAAGGAAACACAAGTATTACGTTTGCATTTTAAGCAGACTCATTTATCGAAAGTGATTTACAAATCACAAGAATTTTGCCAAAAATATTCATAGTACACAATGCCAAGTTTATAATATTTAACAAAATTAGTACGTAAGCCAGAACATAGGTGAAATCTATCTTTAATAGATAAATATTAAAAAAGGAACACAATTCAATATAGTCTGACAAAAGTACAGTATGTATGTATATATATATATATATATATTGTAGTTCATTATACTCTTCAGACAATTTAATTACTTGAAATAAAACTGACTAAAATATAAAATCATTTTTTATATACTATTATAGCATTTATTAATATTTTAAATTAGTTTTTATTTTGTTTTCCATTTAATTTTAGGTTAGGTTTTGGTAATTTTGTCATTTTTATTCATTTTTTTTTTTCTTTCCAATTTCTATTCAGCTGTAATTCAATTTTCATTACTGGAACTTAAACATATTTATTTTGTATTTTTATTTTTCTCATTTTATTAAAACTAAATAAACTAAAATTACTGAAACTGAAAACAGAAAATCAAATAAAAATAAAATCGAATTCAAAACGGTAACAAAAATTATAATAGCATTTCAATGATACTGAAATAACACTGGCGATTTTATTTGATTTTGTCACTAAAAGGTATCATAATAAACCATCAGCAGTGTTTCCACAGGAGAAATGAAATGCATGTGGACAGGAATATTCCCATAGCTGTAAAGCATGTAAATGTTATTTTCAGAATAAAGTTTTAACCAGAATATGGGTCTTAATGTGAGAATGATGCGCATGTGGTCAAAGTTGACGTTGTCTTTGTGTCAGATGCAGGATGAGCAGACGCATGGAGCTGCAGACGCCAGCTCTTCATCACAGCCGTCTCCGTTCGGTCCTCCTCCCAAACCCCAGAAACGAGAGAAACTGAGCGCCTATTCACCGACAGAGGACACCTTTACAGACACGGCCAACCTGGTTAAAGAGGACAGTGAAATATGACCATCACACACGGGAAAATACAAAGAAAAACTCCCTTTGCACAGAATCTATTTTTATATGCAGCCTGCATACGACAGAAATCAATTTAAGATTATTTTTGAAACAAAAAAAAAAGTATAGATGAAATGTTTGTATAGCCTACAGAAAAGAGACTTTGCCTTCTGATACATTGTATGCCAATTCATGTTGTATGATTCTTTTTTTATTATTATTGTGACGTCATATTTGTATATCTTTGCACTAATGCTGCTGAAGGAGAAAGTTATGAATATTTTGTACATTTGTAAATTGAAAAGATTTTGTTTGATAATATCCTCTGGTCAGATGTTATTTTGAAATAGATTATTACTTATTCCTGGAGATTCACACACACACACACACACACACACATATGCCAACGATACTGAGTAAAAGTGCTTTGAGAGCCAGCTGAGACTTTGCCATTTGATCTGATTATTCGTAAAGGAATAGTTCACCCAAAAATGACAATTCACCCTCTGGACATCCAAGATGTAGATGCGTTTGTTTCTTCATCAGAACAGATTTGGAGAAATGTAGCATTACATCACTTGCTCACCAATGGATCCTGTGCAGTGAATGGGTGCCGTCAGAATGAGAGTCCAAACAGCTGATAAAAACATCACAATAATCCACACCACTCCAGTCCATCAGTTAACATCTTGTGAAGCAAAAAGCTGCGTGTTTGTAAGAAACAAAGCCATCATTAAGGTGTTTTTAACTTCAAACCGTTTCTTCCAGCTAAAATACCAGTTCACAATCCATAATAATGCTTCCTCCAGTGCAATTTTTCATTTTTCTGATATATCTGTCTGATATATCTGTCTGATATATCACTCATGTGCAGATCTACTGAGAGCTATTAAAGGAATAGTTTGCCCAAAAATGAAAAAATCGGTCATTATTTACTCTCCCGCTCCAGTTGTGTAAGTAGTAAGTTGTACAGTAACTTTAAGGAACTGACACCAAATTGCATGATAAAGATCTGCTTATTTTCCTCAAAATAACAGCATATGGGTTTCAAATGACATCAGGGTGAGGAAATGATGACAGAAATGGTGAACTACTCCATGCAGAGAAAGGGACTCTCATTAAAGAAAGTCTGAAAGTATGATAATACTCCGCTGTAAACACATTTGAATAGAAGTAGAAGACATACCACTTCTGTTTTATATATTGAAATAATACTTGAAATTTCCCAGTTTATATGCATGTGATTCTAACTGTGATATCTGGAGATCTCTGATGTCCCATCAGCGTTTCAAGGGCTTTTCATACTTACTTTCCCATCTGATGAAGTGCATGGGCTGTGAAGTCGATATATTTGAAATGATTTTGTATATTAAAGACAGTAAAAAAAAAAGAATATTATGAATTTATTCATCTTGACATGCTGATTATGTTACTGTTGAAAGGAACTGGAAACAAATTAACGCTGCTGTGAAAAATCAAATAAATTTGTTTTACGAGAAATGGTAAGATCTTTTTGATGTACAACAAATACACACACACACACACAGAGAGAGAGTTCTGGCATGAAGTCCGATAGGTCTAACTCAATCTGACCTAATGACATCATTATCACATGGCACAGCTGATTGGTTCTCTCCTGTATCGGTAGCCAATGAGCTCGCTGCTCAACATTCAAATATATGACTAGTGCTTGCAGTTGCGTGTGTATATATATATATTTCTCTTAATTTATATATTATCCATTAAGAGAATACATAAAATATTAATGCCAACATTATATAAAATGTATTTTTATATATATTACACATTTCTCTTTCTGTCTGTCCCCCTTATTTCCACATGGTACTAATAGGCTAAATCATGTGGGTTGGGTTAATTAGTGAAGACAGGTGATACTGGTTACAAAGAAGCCTTAAAGAACTCTGCAAAACTTGGTGCTGATTGAGAGGGTTGAAGAAATGAGTGTGTGAGTGAGGAGTGATTGTGCAGAGTGTATGTTTTGTAAAAATACGGGGGAAAACATGAAAGCTTAATTTTTGGGGGGAGGTCAGTGGGCCTGTGCTTGATGAAGAGCTTTGAGATCTATGCTCTTGGTTCTCTTTAAGCCTGGTCTTCACTATTTGCAAAACATGGATTTTTAAGAGTGTTGAAGAGTTTTCCATTTGGAAGATTTCCTTAATTTGAGTCATTCCTTCAAAGCACATTACCCATATACTTTGTTTTTTGTTGATGAAATAAGTAATGACATGATTTTAAAGTCTAGGCGAAACCATATGTTTTCTGTATTGCGACATACATCCAATTGTAATGGATTATCAAAAAAAGAAACAAACTAAAAAATGTTGGTTGTATGCATTGGTTGTTGATGTGATGTTGAGATGTAGGTGTTGGACTCAAAAGTGGAAGCAGATAATTGTGAGTCAAACATAAAAAACATGCATGAACCAGTACATTGTTGGACACCAAAGGGTACTTTATTTATGGAAAATGCAACAATATATAAAATGCATTTTTATTTGATTGCATTATTGCACCGCCCTGCATTAATGAAATCCAATACTTTTCTTACTAATTTTTGAGGCGCTGATTGCAAGAATAGTGCCTTTTTCACTCTACGCATCACTTTCTCACAAAATATGATGCATTTCATAAAATTTTTTGCTTTCAACAATTATTTATAAGGTGAAGAATTCTTGTATTTCCCCCCTAATCAGCAGAAAACTTGCCACAAAGATATTTTTCCCATCTTACTCTGGGTCAGGTTGCAATCATTTGTTCAATTAACAGCCCATTTTCACATATATGAATGATTCTGAAGAAATTTTTTATGCCTAATCCTGATTTCCACTTTTTCCGCTACTTTGCAGATTGCAAGTTAAATGATATGAAACACTTGACATTTAAATGTTGTATATGTGATGAACTCGCATGCTGATTTTTGAACTCCGCATCATCAAATTAGATAATATTAGGCCTTTTTTTTTTTTTTTTTTTTTTTTGTAAGTAAACGCAAACATGAGCCGTTTTCATAATGCAGGGCTGGGTGATCATTGTTGCATACAGCAATCACAGTTTCAAAGACAAAACTTCACAAATCAGATAAGTTGAGCTGCAGTGGCGTTTTCAGCAAATCTTTGTAGAGATATTCAGCTCTCCTTCGTGGAAGGCATTAAATTGTTGGTGAAGATGTCTGCTATACATGTCGGCAGGTACGAGAGGGGAATCCAGAGGAACTTGGCGTCCCAGCCTGCGCTGTAGCGTGTTCGGGGATAACGCGCTGATAGAGCGTGCTGCATACATGACGTCACTTTAGAAAGATCACTGCTGGCCAGAGTCTTCATGGAGAACTCCTGCAACTTTATATCTGGAAAATATAATTGAGAGAAATGCAGAAATGTCACTCGAGTTCAGTCGGTACAACAAAACAGCATCACATGAGGCTCTGCTTCAAACATTTCCATCTATATAAGGCGGCAAAAATGGTTTAATATAATTAAAAATAGACTTTTTTTGTGTCTGCAGAGTATTTTAGAGTGTCATTGCATTGATTAGCAATATGCAAATGCTAAACAACATTGAAATTGAAGTTGTAAGTGCATGTTTGAATGCATCATGATATCAGTCTTCAAATTCTAAAGTAGTGTTGCATGAAATCTGCACTGATATGACATTAGAAGCACTCACAGTCCTGCAGGTATGAGTCTCCATAGGCTCTCCTGACCTCTGCTGGGAGGTTGCTCCACCGTTTCTTCAGATCATCTTCAATGAGGCTCAAATCTGTTACTTGTGTTTTGAAGAAGCCTGGTTCAATGATACTTACCTTCACTCCAAAGTGCATCATATCTCTCCTGACAGCAGCAAGAGAGAGAATAAAATGATTTTGGAGACATTATTAGACATTGAATGAAAGATGCAAATCTCTAAGAAGTTGAAGTATGGGTAAGGTTTAAAAGTTTTACTCAATGAAATGTCAACGTGTTTCAAGGTTAACTTCAGAAAGACTGAAGTTGTGGTCTGAGGTCTTACAAAGACAAATGCCAATACATGGAAATGGATTTTGTTGGCTGTTTTTAATAAAAGTCAGATGATATTATCAGCTTAATAGCAATATAAAATATATTATAAAAATATATAAAATACATTTTAATTAATTTATTAATTATTACATTATTAAATGCATTATGTATTTGTTAAAATGTTATTGATTTATTTATATTTAAATATATATATTTTAAACGAATACATAGTGTATTTATGTTTTTATATTTGAAAAAAAAATCCATGAAAATTAAAAATGGATAAATAGACAGATTATTTTATTGTCAACATAATAGAATACATTTAATGTTTTATTATTTGTATTATTTTTATTTGTAAGTATTACTTTTTATGTATTTATTCATTAAAATGTATTTATATCTATTTAAATAAATAAAGATATTTAATAAATACATACATTTATTTAAAAAAATATGTATTAAATAAATAAAAATGTAAGCCATGAGGACCTGCAAAACGTGTACTTTTTACAAAACATGCTAAAAGACCTTGTTGACATGTCTCGAAGTTTCTTGGTAATTGCCTAAACATACCTCAAGCTATCAGAGAAGGCCTCCACACCATATTTAGCGAGACAATATCCTCCCCCGATGAGTGAGACTCTGCCCAGTACGCTGGCCACGTTCACCACCCGACCACGAGCCTTCTTCAGCAGAGGAAGACACTTCAGAGTCACCTCGATAAGACCGATGAGGTTTACGTCCAGAACCTTCTTAAAGTCCTCCAGCTGCATCCATTCCATGGGGCCGACGGGGACCGAGATGCCAGCGTTGTTCACCAAACCCCACAGACCTGACACAAGAAAAAATAAGAACATGCTAATCACACAATGAAAAGAATAGTTTACTCACTCTCGGGCCATTCAAGATGTGGATGAGTTTGTTTCTTCATCAGAACAGATTTGGAGAAATGTAGCATTACATCACTTGCTCACCATTGGATCCTCTGCAGTGAATGGGTGCCGTCAGAATGAGAGTCCAAACAGCTGATAAAAACATCACAACAATCTACAAGTAATCCACACCACTCCTGTCTATTAGTTAACGTCTTGTGAAGCGAAAAGCTGCGTGTTTGTAAGGAACAAATCTATCATTAAGACAGTTTAACTGTTGCTTCCGGATAAAATACGAGTCCTCTCCATAGTATTGCTTTCTTCAGTTAAAAAGTTGTCTCGACTGAGAGAAATTAGGAGAGAAATATGCACAGATCAAGCACCGTTTATAAGCAAAATCAGTCCTAAACAGTTCTAAACAAATATTTTGGTGGATTTTGATGTGAGAGGACAACAGAAAATGGACTTTTTCACTGGAGGAAGAGTTATTATGGATAATGTACTTGTATTTTGGCCAGAAGCAACGGTTTAAAAATGCCTTAAAGAAGGATTTGTTTCTTACAAACATGCAGCTTTTCACTTCACAAGATATTTTAAAAAGTCATATGGATTATTGTGATGTTTTTATCAGCTGTTTGGACTCTCATTCTGACGGCACCCATTCACTGCAGAGGATCCATTTAGATGTTTAGACTAGTCTTAAAAAGTTAGTCATCTATTTTTTTCTTCTTGAAGGCTGGTCATTACTTTTTTAATTCAGTTATGAAAAGGTAGATTGGTCTTATTTGTATTGGAAAAGTAAGACTGATTAGCCCTTGGCAACTGCTAGTTGGTGAGTAAACTGTCAGCAAATATTAATTTTGGGCTGAACTATCCTTTTAAGGTCAAAGGTCACTGAGGTGTGCAAACATGTCAGGTGCTATATGAGGAAAGTAAGTCTCTCTATAATAAATGATGCAGCTTTGGTATGAGAATGGCATTCGCCTGAAGATGCTCCTCCAGGTCAACTAAAAGCGCTTGTCCAAGGGTTGCAGATTTATGAGTTGGTCTGAGGGCTGTGTGGTCGTCAAAGTGCCTGTATCTCGGCTTTATCTCTCGCTGTGCTTGACTCGAGCTGGCACCCTATCTGACTGTGCGTCTCACCTCTCTCCCCGGCCTCGCTGCGCACGCGCTCCAGCGCACTCTCCACGCTCGCGCTGTCGGTAACATTGAGCAGAAGCGTCTTGAGTCTGGGGGAGGCCGCCGCGCGCAGTCTGGAGGCACCAGGTTCCGTGAGACACGCGGCGATCACGTGAAACCCCCGCCGGTCGAGCTGCCGCGCCGCGAGCAGTCCGAAGCCGCTATCGCAGCCCGTCACCAGGACGTGTTTCTCGTGGATGCCGCTGATCTGACGGAGGTCTCGGAAGAGCCAGACCGCAGCGACGAGCGCCAGAACGGCTAGAGAACAGCAGCAGCAGCAGCACAGCAGATCCGCGCAGAAGAGCACCTGCGGAGGGAGACGGATGAAGATGTGCTGGATAAACACTGACCTTTCCAGTTGTTCTATGATATGGAGGGCCATTACTCAAAATTAAATCATTAAATAAATGTTGAAATATATAAATAAATCGTTAAATACATAACTGAATACATAAATAAATGCATTATTAAACATTTATTATTTATTTAATTATTTATTGTATATATATATATCAAAAATGATAAAAAAAATTCTTTTATGCCAAAAATCATTACGATATTAAGTAAATATCATGTTCCATGAAGATATTTTGTAAATTTCCTACCGTAAATATATCAAAACTTAATTTTTGATTAGTAATATGCATTGCTAAGAACTTCATTTGGACAACTTTAAAGGCGATTCTTTTTAAATATTTAGATTTTTTGGACCCTCAGATTCCTGATACATCGATGGAAAGCTTATTTATTCAGCAATTAAATTATTCAAATTTTTTTTTAAATTGACCCTTATGACTGGTTTTGTGGTCCAGGGTCACAAATGAGCATTTTTCTCAGGCTCCTATGTTTAAGTTCAGTTATTTCACTTTAAAGGCAATGAAAAGAACCTAGGCTATTCAATGCCACTAAAGTGAATTTACTGAACCTACACATAGGAGCTCATTTTAGAAGAAAATTTCAAATGGCACTTAGAGGCTTTTGCATCTGAATCAGAGACTTTTTTTTTGCATCTTCATATAGACTTTTACTTTACATGTCAGGCAACATTTTTTTCCACTTACACACTATAGTGTACAAAAACACTGCACTGAGAAATCCAGTGTTATCCAAATGTTATTAAAGCAAAATATAACTCGAAAAAAATTGATTTACTAGACATGTCCACGATTTAAGACTTTTTCTCTCATTTTTTTAATTCCAAATTTTTCTTACCTTTAAATATTTACCACGGTAAAAGCAATTGTAACAGTTATTGTTATTACAATAACACGGTGACATTGGTATTTGACCCTGCTTTCATCAATCAATCAATAAATAATGGCAGAAATATTTGAAAATGTATTTATTTAGTTTTTGTTAATTTATTCAGATTTGTATTCATTTATTTTTTTTATGTATATACGTTTATTTATAGACTTTATTTATTAATTTAGATTTTATTTAGAATTTTATGTGAATATTTTCAATTAATTTTATACAAATTAAGTGGATTTTTATGTAGATATTTATGTTTTTTTTTATTTTTTATATATATATATATTATTAATATAGGTTTTCAGGTGAATTTTAAGAGATGGTGTTTACATTCTCACCTGAACAAAGTCCAGAAGAACCTATCAACAAGGGTACTTTATTAACTTTTAATGACAGGAGAGCAAAAGTTGTGATAACACTTTGAGAGAAAAGGTTACATTTAAATGTACCCTTGGCGTCCTCACTAAGACTGAAAGTGTGTGGCTGGCAGATTCCTATTTAGTAATTATTTCAAATGAGCTTGTCGTGCAACTGTGTGAAAGTTTATTTCGCATGAACTTCCACTGGGACTGAGAAGATTAAACTGATTAGCCTATAGTGCACAACCCTGCGTTTCAAATGGAGAAACACAATGTTTGGCTGTCTGATTCTCACAAAAAAATATAACACTACAATTCGACCAAAAAATTAACCATATATATATAAAACTATTATGATTCTTTGCAGTAATTGTATGGCAATTAAGCACGTTTTTCTTTAGGTTCTCGTTGGTTTACAAAACAGTCTTCATTAGCTTAATGCAAAATTGCATGATTTAATACAATTCCTCCATTAAATCTAACACGATTTATTTTTTTGGAGTATAGAATATTTGCTATATAGAAACGACACATTTATAATTTAATCCATTTAATATAAATGCTAAACAAAAGCGTAATTGTAGACCGATATTTCAACAGCCGCAACTATAATTGTATGTTCTCTCATTTTTGTCAATGATTTATTGCAAAAATCATTTATAGCTTTGAACACTGAAATTTTCATTATCAAATCATGCACACATTAATTCCTACTTTGCTTTATACAATAATGAAATAAAGACACAGATTATCTGATTGTGTTCAGAACTGACAAACGTACCATTGTGACTAGTGCAGTTATCAGTACTCCTTCACTGTGAAAACCAGCAGATGTTTTGTTTCTGAGCTCCCGACTCCCACTGCTGTCCTGATCCCGGTGCGCTGAAGAGCTCAAGGGCCACAAACCCACTGCGGGGCCAAAGGGCGCCAAATGCAATAAACGTCACTGAGCTTGTGCAATAAACCACAAGGCCTACTTTATCTTCTAAACATTCAATATTTAATTGTGTGCCCATGTATTACTAAATCTGTGGTCAAATAGGTGGTGAAATGACACTTGGTTCGGATTTAGCTGATTGAAGAACACAGGCCTCTCACAAGTGTGATGCTGCTAAGGCGATGGTTAGTGAAGTGTAATAAAAGTAACTCTGTATGTCATATACATTTTTTAAGAAAGGTATTCAGTTTTGTGCTTAAGTAATCATATCACTTGTTTAATATTCTCTAAAGAAAGTTGAGATATTTTATATAATAAGAGTATATTTGTAGAGTTTGGTTCCAAAACGCGATAAACGCCATTTAAAATAAGCCATTAAAAAAAATTTGAGTTTCCACCAAAATCAGTATTGTATCTGGTCGGTATTGAAAAGTCAATTTTTAATTTTACGCAAAATGCGATATTCGCCGAGTTATTCTGTCATGTTTTCTCCCTTTTTTTCCAAACCGCGACAAACGCCAGTCTCCCTTTTCTGCAGAATGCGATATATCCGATCCAATCACAGCGCACCATTCACGCACTGTAAACCGTAATGGCGGGGCCAGATTACTAATCCACGTCCACAACCGTTTTACTCAATTTCCTTTTCATTGAAGGAAATGGAAGTATAACTAATGTCATTTGTTTTTAAAGATGTTATTAAGTATAAAACTTGTGCAGTTATGCTAATTCAGAAGGAAAACTCTGTTGTCAGTGGACAGAAATATTCCCCCGACAAGCCAATGTAAACATTTCAATTGCATTGTCTGTAAATTTGCAACAAACAAATATACAGAGGTCCTTTTTTTATTAGTAGCCTACAGAACATTCTCAAAACAACC